TATTTGACCTGGTCAAAATAGCTTACTTCATTATCTGTATAAAAAGTAAGCATCTATGCTTTAAGAAAATWAAAACAAAGTGTTTCCAAGCTGAAGCATGGCTCATGAACATATAAAATATTTTGTCAGCCTCTTCATTGGTATTGCGACACCTTAGTCTTAAGTCTCATCATCCTCCCGAAATTCTAAGTTATGTTTAAATAAAGCTGACAGTTTTTTTTAATAAATGTATTATCATGCACAGGTGGCAAAACAGTGAACATGAAAATAAACAGCGAGYGAGGAATGTGTCGCGACTCTAATGGCGAAAGTTGAAGCTGAATATACATTTAATGAACTGTTTGTGCGCTTCTGAAACTGAAATGTTTGCAATTGATTGCTCCATCCACGACGGGTTGTTTTCTTTCATCTTATTTGTTGGCTTTTGTTTAGTCAGTTGCCAGCTGGAGGCGGAGAAGTGCTGCTGCAGAAACAAGCTAATTTGAGCAACAGCAGAAAGGCACCCAAAAAAAAAAGGACCTTAAGAGCTCGAGGTAATAAGTTCTGGGTCAATAGGATCTGTGGATTTCGGGGCCATGTAGAGTCAGGTCAGCAAAGAAGCTGAGCACAGAGCTGGGGTTGCTGAGAAAGTGGCTGTGGGTGGATGAGACACAAAGGCAGAGAGTGTTAATAAAATCAGATTCTTGCGGAMAAACTTTTTGAACTGTTTGACAAGTCATCATTGAATGCTGGAAAAAAAAAAAAGCAAAGACCCGAAGCTTCAGCCTTTGAACCTAACTAAAAGCAGTAAGCTTTTCTTTTTGAGGTAAAAATGACCAAGAAAACACTCAAACATTCTTTAGCCTGATGCACAAGTTTTGCTTCTGTTCCAATAACGCACCAGTTCAACATTTTAYAAGTATTTTAAGCATATTTTTACATGCACTGACAGTTTATATTTGAACCATGCACAAAGATGAAGAGCTGAATGAATAAGAGAACAGATGAGTGAATTGTAAATCACATCTTAGTCTTTTTTTTTTTTTTTTTTTTTTTTTTTTTTGCTGATGGTCTGAAAAATAAAGAACACCAAATTCAGGGTCATGTTGCTCAGCCTTGTTGCTCAGCCTCTCCGCATCTATCTTTCATGCTGTTTGTAGCAAAGAAGCTGATGCGAAACAAATTTCTTATCAACAATGTTGTCTTATGAACTGTCAGATTCTGCTGCTCTCCAGTCACGTATTTAAGTACTTTTCTTTGTTCATTTTTTTTCTCCTCTCCAGACTTTTTAAAGCTGCTCATACCGGCTGGACCATTTTGCAGAAGGTACTTCGGTGCGTGGGCGCTTGCCAGAGTTAGCACCTGGAAGGTGCCTCACTGCTGCAGGAGGTGTGACACAGTCCCCACCCACCACACACTGATTCACACACAAGATTAAGCCACCACATGATGCTGCAGGCAGAAGGCTTGGCACAGGTGATTTACCTTCCCTGTCAGACCTAACATCTTCGGACGCCTCCGCCGCTCAGCTCAACTCTCCCAGCCAGACTACTGAAAACCATCTGCTGACCACATCACCAAAGGGATGACTGGCAGTCATCTTGTGCAGGTACGGTGCATTTTGCATGTTTAACAAGGTTGTTTACTTAGAAATATTTTATAAAACAAGGCTGGTGTGAAGAGAGCTTGAAAGAAAGCCAACTGCCTATAGGGGATTGTGAAAACTGAGAAGTTTTTTTTAAATATTTCATCATTTTGTCCGCACATAAATAGTGTCTTCTATCTATCTATTAGGGGTGGGAATCTCTTWACTCTCTCACGATTCAATTCAAAATMGATTTTTCATTCAAAACTGATAATGTGAGCCCATTCGTCATGTTCCCAAAGTGCTTCTTCTTTAGTTTGCAAACCATTCACACCTTGCTCATGTCGAACTCAGACTCGTTCAGTAAAAAACCAAAATGAGCCCAAATGTTTGCATTCAATGAAAACAGGGCCAGCTGAATCTCTCCTTCCTCCATGTTTGTAGTTTCCTCTTTGTTGTGGTGCTTTCTGCACATTCATATGTTCCAGAAGCAACTACGTGATGACATCAGGACATCTCATGCAGTTTCAAAATGGAGGAATTRAATTTTCTTTATTTTTTTATTAATAAAAATCGATTTTGGGACATTTTAAATCAGTTTTGAATCTTTGTAAACGAGAATCACGATTCTGATGTAAAACGATTTTTTTGGTGCACCCCTACTAACTAACTAACTAACTAACCAACCAACCAACCAACCAACCAACC